CACACCTGTCATTCCCGCACTTTTTGGAGGCTGAGTGGCAGCATCACCTGAATTCAGGGAGGTTCGTTTGGGCCAACATGGGGGCGGAACCCCATCGGGTCTACTGGGAAAATACAAAAACTTTGGGGGCCAGGCACCAGGGGCTCAACCCTGTAATCCAGCCACTTTGAGCCCCGAGGCTGGGGATCACCTGGAGGGTCAGGGTTCGAGGACTCCCTGGCCTTTTGCTGACACCCAGGCTGAACTCAGTCTATACTAAAAATAAAAAAAAAATCAGGCCGGGGGCGTGGGGTTGGTCATGGCTGGTTAATCCCAGATTTGGGGAGGCCCCGAGGTGGGCTGCGGATCACGGGAGGTCAGGAGATCGAGCCATCCTGGGCTAACACGGTGAAACCCGTCTCTACAAAAATTGCAAAATTAGCCTGCGTGGTGGGTGCGCGGCCTGTGCCCAACTACTCGGGAGGCTGAGGAGTGAGAATGGCGTGAACCCAGGAGGCGGAAGCTTGCAGTGGCCGAGATTCGGCGCCATTGCACTCCAGCCTGGCGACTGAGCGAGCTCCATTCAAAAAAAAAAAAAAAAAAAAAATCAAAAAATAGTTTCCAGCTATAAAAATTTAAAACCCTCATTATAAGTATATTACTGGTAATAGAAAGTCGCTTGCTGCTCCCCTGTGTATTACACTTATTCCTTCAAATGATAAAAGGTTTTGTAGCTGCCACGATTCATCAGCAAACTTCAGCACAAGTGTATTACATAAAACACTATCGTTCTGTCTTGCAAAAAGACTCAGAAAGTAAAAATAAAAGTGAGAACTCCCACTAATTAGTGAAAATTCTCAAAGGGGGGGATAAGGAAGGAGACCACTACTACTCCTGCTACAGAGCCTGTCTTGGTCCCACCAGGGATGCTGTGTAAAGGACCTTGGACGGGTGGCATTCATGCCTCACAGTTCTGGAGGCTCAAAGTTCGAGGTCAGGACGCCAGCATGGCTGGGTTCTGGCGAGGGCTCTTGTGGGTTGTGGACCTCCTGTGACTCCTCACGTGGCAGAAGGAACGAGGGGGCTCTCCAGCGTCCCTTTGATGAGGGCACTGATCATGGTCATGAGGGTGTCACCTTCATGACCTACCCACTTCCAAAAGACCCCACTTTTTTTTTTTTTTGAGATGGAGTCTCACTCTGTCGCCCAGGCTGGGGTGCAGTGGCACAGTCTCGGCTCACTGCAAGCTCTGCCTCCTGGGTTCACGCCGTTCTCCTGCCTCAGCCTCCCAAGTAGCTGGGACTGCAGGCGCCCACCACTACGCCCGGCTAATTTTTTGTATTTTTAGTAAAGATAGGGTTTCACCATGTTAGTCAGGATGGTCTCGATCTCCTGACCTTGTGATCCGCCCACCTTGGCCTCCCAAAGTGCTGGGATTACAGGCATGAGCCACCGTGCCTGGCCGACCCCACTTCTTAATACCATCACCTTGCAGGAGCCAGGGTTCCTTCCTTCCCTCCCTCCCTCCCTCCTTTCCTTCCCTCCCTCCCTCCCTCCTTTCCTTCCCTCCCTCCCTCCCTTCTTTTTTTTTTCTGAGACAGAGTCTTGCTCTGTCACCCAGGCTGGAGGGCAATGGAGTGATCTCAAGCTCACTGCAATCTCGGCCTCCCAGATTTAAGCGACTGTCCTGCCTTAGCCTCCCAAGTAGCTGGGATTACAGGCCTGCACCACCAGGCCCGGCTAATTTTGTATTTTTAGTA